ATATTGAGGGGATTTCAGTGGCATAATTCTAACTATTATTACAGCAGGAGACATAACGCTAAAGGAGATGATAGCATACATAAACTCATACAGAAAAAGAGATCATATAAACCGCAGTATAGGCAAAGTTGCTACCTGAGAATAGCTTCAAAGTTGTCTGTTTGAATATGGAGTGGCGATCTCAGTCTGCACCAACTTAGAAAAATTAAAAGTTGGAAGATGAGGTGCTACTGGAATATGCAGGGCCTGTGCAACTGCATCAATGCTAGGTTATTTCATTTGGCTTTTAATGTGACCAACCAAACACAGAGAAGAGAGTAACAGTTAGGTGTAAAAAGAAGCAGGGCCTCCCCCACACTCTAGCCTTAGATGCAATGTAACGTTATGGTACTGAAACTTTTCCTGCTAGGCCCTTGTGTGGTTTGCTACCTGAACAATCTTTCAACAGTCGTAAACACTGACTGCCTACATCGCACCCCACAGCTACAGCGCACTCACCGTCAGGGCATAAAAAAACGAAATACCTGAATTGGTGGGTTGTATTGAACATTATCTAATTTAAACTAGTGTAAAGCAGCCTTTTGAGTGCAAATTGTTCCCTTTATAAAGTCAGTGATGTCTTAAGGTGCATTCACACCGAAGGCGATCTGGGCATCAAAAACGCTTAAACAACGTAATTGTTGCGTGGGGTCAAACGCTGGTCAAGTTTATTTGATGCTTCGATGCACTGGTTGTTTACTTGCGCTGTTCTGTAGCTACAAGCTAAAGAGCAGGTTTCTCCAACTTTAATGAGTTGAAAAAAAATTGTTTTTTAGTCGCAAAGTCCACCTCCAAAGATCATCTGTGCAGTCAATTCATGAGGATTATGCTCCCACTAAAATATGCAGTTCTTGTTTTGAGCACCAGACCGCCAGCATGGCGCCGGCCCGCAGGGCTGGGAATCCCCACTGAAAGCTCCCTGAAGCGGCCAGCCAGGTGGGGATTTCTCCCTGATGCTCGTAGTGGCTGGAAGTGAATATAAAGAGTTTTTAAGGTTTGTTGGAAAAACTGCAAGCGCTAGAATATACAAGCAACAATTTCTTTGTCGACATGTAATATTTTATGTAATTTGGGTATTTATGAACTGTTTTACAATAGTTTATTGATAAATGTTTCAGTGCAGTAATAATGATCAGAGCTCACTCTCTGTTCATTGAACATAATCCATTCTCCTGGCTTTTTTATATACCTTTTGAGTTTAACCCCTTTACATTTATTTATTGTTTATATGCAGACAGCTCAGTAGAAGCGATAACAGCTTGCTTGTAGTGTCTGTCTCCCCAAAAAAAACTCCTGGATCAGCTTTCCTGATTGGTTGACGTTCTAGCGTCCAGCAGCAAAAGGTCAAATTTCTGAACTCCAGTGTCAAATGCTACGATGTGACGCTCCCGATGCTCTGACGCACCACTAGACATCTCAATGCCCCCCATAGACTTTGCATGTAAATCAGATGCTTTGAAAGCACTATAAGTCTACCTCTCGGGTAAACAAGATTCAGCCTCATCGTGTTTAAATAATGCCACACCAAAACTCCATCTCTCTAAAGTCACATAACACTAAGAGGGCTGGCAAGTATGGTACTAAATGGAGTGATAACAGTACTGCCAGCTCTGCATAAGTTTTGGATACTTGTTTTTGTTTGAGGTCTCGACATGGAGTAAATGTTTTGCCCAAATTCTCCCTTGCTCGAGCCCCTCCCAATCCGATTCATGATTTCTCTTCCATTGCTCTTCAGACATGGGTTTCCTTTGCTGACCTATTTCCTATTTTGTGGTCTCTGCCACATTGTAAACCTTCTCAATCTAAAAGCGTTCTATAATCACCTGCAAGTAGCAAGAGAGGTTCTGGTTGGCTATTGATGTTGATGTTAATAGCCTGGGCTGCCGTATAGCTGTTTGCTTACAGCAAGCAAAAAGCTGCCAAAAGTCACAGACCCGTAATCGTCTCATAAATACTTATATTACCATCACAGGGACATAGAAGAAGATATAGTAGTGCTGCTTTGAACACTTTAGGGCCAGAAGATGGAAGAGTTTAACCCTTAAGTTTGAAACTGCCTGCTATGACCTGTGATAAACATGGAAGGAAAGCATCAGTGTCTAACCTGCTGCAGCTTCATTTGCCCATTTAAGTAATGCAGCCTCTTCTTTTTAAGCTGTCAGCTCCAAAGTGGGCATCTTTCATCACCCGCATTGTCACCCTGGACCCCTCTAAATGTCAGTCTGAGGTCATGAGCATGTCTGTCTTTGTCATTTTTGCAGTTTTCACCAATTACCAATATTATTTTCTCATGATTTCACTAGAACTACAGGTTGACAAGTTACTTTAGCTTGAATTTGTGCTCTGATATGGCTGTAACTCAGTGGCGGCCGGCCCATAGGGGGCGCTGGGGCACCGCCCTCCCTGATAAGAAGAGAGAAACGTAAAATATATTTTTAGAAATTAACTCATAAATGTCAGTTTTACTCTCTAGACTGTGTACCTATAAGCAAAACAAATTATATAAACTACATTTCCCTATCTACTGTCATTAATTTGTGGATTTCCACAGACAGACTCCTACCGTCTCTGTTCTGGGGGCGCTGATCAGACTGACCCACATTTGCAGAGAATCTGTCAATCATGTACTATTGCTAGGTGAATTTAATGGCCAATCAGCGTCTCGGAACTTTATGGTCTTGGGGCGCTGAAAATACTGCGCTTTAACAGGCTTCTGAACCCAAGCGCAGGTGCAGACAATTAGAGGGAAGATGGCGAATGTAACGACCGAGATGCAGCTTCCACCAAATTCGGTGAGATCCTTATTTATCTACCCGTTTGCCAGAAGAATATCCCTGTTGTAGGATATGAACATTTCATGTCATGGTTATTGTGACTGTGACGAATCCACCTCGTCGCTTAAAACAACCTCTCTAACTTTGCGCACCACACACACATTCCTGTTATACTGTGTTTGTGAGGACCAATACACTCGCGCTGAGACCAGTAGCTCCATGAACTTAAAACACACAAGCTGTTCCTGGTTACCTGCTGGCATATTGAGGGTGCACACTTATTATTTCAGTGGGGTTAGCCGTGTGTGTGTGTGTGTGTGTGTGTGTGGGGGGGGGGGGGGGGGGGGGGGGACTTGTCATCTTCAGTCTGGCTGCGTCTTTGCTGGGTTCAAACCCAGTTTGGTGTAATTGAATAAGTCAATGAATCTGTGTAAAAGAATTAAGTTGTAAAAATTATTTGTTTTGTTTTACATCAATTGTTTGTGGAGGTAATATATGGACAAAACTGATTAATGAGAAGAAATCAGAAATAAGAGAGCCTGATGTGAGGGGCTTAAACTATTTAATGAGGGCTGTGGGAAGAAAAGCGGCAATTTTTGTTTTCTGTTTCTTTGTTACATTGCTGGTAACTGGAGGGAGGCTGAGGCCCAGAGTATCTTGTACATGTTTAGTTTCTTTTGCACCCTGTTTTGAGTTTTTGAGCTCAATAAATCACCAACACCGGTAACCCGACTGAGACTGGATTCTTGGAGGCCAAAGAACCCCGTCACAGTGACCCAAATCATCACTGTTACTGTTATTATATAGTAAATTAAATCATTACTGTTAAATTGTATGTATTGTCCAATTGTTTATTTGAATTCTTATTCCGGATTAGTTGGAGACATACACTAGGCTATATCAGCCCCACCAAAAATATTTTTCACCAGCCGCCACTGCTGTAACTGCTGTTACTTCGGCTGATAGGTCTGTTTTCGACAACACAGAACGTTTTCAGGGTTTATATAGCCCCACCATTGGAGGAGTTTAATGAACACATTGAAAATAGTTCAGAATTATCACTGCGTCAATTTCCCTTTTTAAACTCACAATTAATAGTTAAAGTCAGTCAGGGATGAGACGGTTGATTACAGCATCACTTAAAATAAATTCACAACTCTCTGAGTTCAACACCTCAAAATGTTTACCATAGAAATACTTTATGACCTGGGCTGGATTATTTTAAAGAAAAAAATAAGCAAGTAAAAACATTTTCCAGTTGTGTAGTTCAACCATTGTAAACTGTGGTATAATGGACAAACCTTCCCAACCAGTAAAATTATATTGAAACTGTGATTGTGGCCTTGTAACACCTCACGCTGTCAGTTATAAATGAATAATTAGGTGTTTGACATTCATGTATTTGAATTTAATGACAATTATCTTGCTTTTTATGCTTTATATGGAAGATACATTGCAAAACAAAATACTGTCACTGCCTCCTTTAATCACCCCAGATTTGTAAAAGGTCATTCCCTTCCACACAGGCTTAATGAAGAACAAACCTTTGTCCTGGAACATATGAAAGTCAAACTGCCCTTCAACCTCATCCAATTTTCACATATTTTGAGCTGGTTACCATATTTGTCCGGGATCAGCATTTTAAGACAGGATGCCAGAAACCTAGACTTTTTCTAAAATAAAAAAATAAATGGCCACTAGAAACAAAATACAAACATCCTCAAATTTTATTTTATGTCTTATAAGTTTTATTTCTTTTTCATTAGAAATACATTTGCTTTAAAAGGTCCCACAAAGTCCAGTTTTTTTAGTTTCAATATAGAATAGTTTTGTTTTGACTGTTATATTATAGGATAGCGCATAGAAATACCTGCAGACAGTTAAAGGGTCAGCAATGTCCAATTCATTTGTAGATGAGCTTTTCATTGTTCATTACAGTTTTTAAGGTGAATAAAAACGTCGTGGATTTGACACACGAAAAATAAAGACAGGCTTTTTTTTGAGTGGTGTCTGTTCTCTGTCCGGTAAGTGATTTAAAAACCAGTGTTTTTACTAAACATGTGCTACTTCATGCATGCTCTGCCTTTGACTAAAACAGACCAGGCTATTTGTGTTGGCATCAAGATATGCAGCAGCGATTGTGTTCGGAGCGCCCTGCCTCACTCTCCATCTTTTATTTGCCTCCAGTCCCCCGCTGCAGACTCGGGTTACACTCCTCCTTCAGATGGCGTTCTGCCTGGCTGAGCTGCACTTGTGGTCCATGAAGAACTCGCTCCAAGTTAAAGGTGCCACTTATCACCATGTTCAATCTTCCTCCCTCTTATAAAGTTTCTTGTTGTCTCCTTTCTCTTCCAACCCACTCGGTCTTGTTCTGGTGGTTCCTGTCAACAGTCACTTTGTTTTGGCACATTGTCCTCACTTATATCTACTTCAGCAATCTGACACTGACTCTTTCTCCTCATCAGTGATTTCACAGCATTGTGCCTCACTTTCTTTGTTAACATAAAGTGTTTTTTCCATGAATCAGATTTTTAAGACTTAGACAACTTTTATTGTCATTTTTTTATACACTGAGTGTATGAAAACAGAAATTTTGTTTAATACAGCTTTTCAGACAATATATTTATTTTCTTTTTCTTTTTTGAAATCTAGACACACTGAAAAAACTCATCTAAGGATTTGTAAAAATGTCTTTAAAATAAGTTTATTTGTATAGATCTATCATTGGAAAGTATTTTTGTCCTTAAAATAAGACAATTAGATATTATTGTATGCACTTGAAATAAGATAGTGGAGTTGTTTTATTTACTTATTTTAAACATAAATCATCTGATTCTTGTCTGTTCTAAACAAGGGAAAATACAGTTAGTTAAAGAAAAATTAAATTAGTTACTTTTTGCTGCCTAAACCCTACTTTTAAACAATATTAGTAATAAATGAATGAATAATTGGCAGCTTGTTAGTTTTCACAGAAAAAAATAAGTGGAAATTAGGTGAAAACATTTTATTTTGAGCGTTTGTTAACCCCATAGGTGTTTTTAGCCTATTTTTGGGGTTGCTGAAGCAACAATAATTTGAATCAAAGCACCTCTAAAATAAGAGTCGTTTTTTTTTAATACTATATGTGCTTTTTAGAATAAAAAAAAAAACAAAGAAAATAAAAAAATGTGACATTGTAAAAACTTTATACAGTATTTGGTAATTTAACCCCTTCAATTATGTTCTGGTTCATCAGAAATAATAATAAACAAACAAAAAGTAAAAAAGATGATGGAGCTCTTAAACTAAAATTTTGACCAACTCTTTTATGAAAACGCTGCATTCAGGTGTTTCTTAAATGTTCAGTCAGATTTCTGCACCTATTGATGTTGTGTTGGTGAGATGGTGCTCTAATGTGTCTGAGACGGGTTTGTTTGATTATCCTTAAAACCACAACTCAATATCAATATCTAAATTTACCAAATCATTAGTAAATCGTTATAATTTTTTTTCAATTTCTAGTTATTTGAATTTACAATCCATTTTATGATTGCATAAAGTGGGAGATGTGTAGAAGGGGGAGCAGAGGAGCAGGGAGTGTGCAAAGTGAAAGGTCAGGAAAAACCAAGAACAGACAGAATAGCAGCAGCTGTTAAACTAGCAAAGAAAAACATTTCCTTAAGTAGGTTATTTTCCATATATCATGGAAGTCATTTTGGCACACAATAGAGCAAACTCATTGAAAACTGATTCAGCGGTTTCCATGGAATGAGTTGATTTTAAAGCTGTAATTGGTTGGAATATTCTTCAAAAAAATGCCTTGCTCGTGGGGTTTTTGGCACACATCTCAGATACGATGCATTAGTAAATGATGGAGGCAGTCATTAGAAAAACGCACTGAACAAGTTTCAAAAATATATGCAGAAAACAGTGAAATTAAATTTGTCTGGCCAGACTGCTCTCTGGGTGCTCAGCCCCCCTAAACCTCTGGTCCTAGAATCGCCCCTGGTTACCATTAAATTTAGATAGGACAAAAAGACAGCAGATATGTTTATAGCACTACAGAGCATTTTTTGTCTACTTTTCTTTCCAGTTATTTTAATTCGGTCATACAAAAATGAACCATGGCTCATAATGAAATCAGTTTTTTTTTTTACTAAAAAAAAAGCATACCGACATAACACAACTTACCTGACAAAGAATATAACACATTGTGTGTTAGCTGATGAATGTTGCAGCACAATAGGTGTAGCTAAACACAAGAAATGCATAAATGCGTCTCTCAAAGAATGTCCTCTTCCCCTCATTAGCAGCAGCTGATGGTGCGCTCCAGTTTACCCTTCTTGTCTCATTCGGTTTGCATGAATAACAACTATAAATATACATCACAATAATGTTCACAGTAAAAGAAACTACATAAATTATTTTAAATTCATATTTTTTCACAGAAGCAAAAAGTAAATATATTTTTCCCTGTAACTCATCTATCTGTACTAAAAAAAAGCTCCTTTTTGTTTGTTTTCTATTTAGAAGCAATAGAAAACTGTCAGTCTGCTTTCCTTTCAGGTTGTTTTAGTTGAACTTTTTTGTCAGTTTTTTTTTATTTATTTTTTATGATCCTGTGTAAACCGCCTATCGGTCCATCTCTTCTGTCAAACAGCAAACTCTGTATTTTTTCTTTTACCTTTCTTTCTTCCATTTTCTTGATTTCTTGCCTCCATTTTGTCCCGTCTTTCACACTCTACTGAGCTTTCGGCAAAGATAGTGTCTCTCAGTGGCCGTCTGTGTGGAAATGTGTGTGCCTATAAAATCTTTGTATCTATGAAAGGCTGTATATCTCAGATGATGGTGACACATTTCTTTCTGTTTGTTTTCCTGCTGTGTTTTGTCTGCTATCTTAAAGAATACGGAGAAAGAAGACCTGGTCGCCAGAGTGTGACACTCCCTATCTTTACCTTCCTCACATCGGTCTGAAATCAAAAATATAAATTGAAAAAAAGCATCTTATTGCTATGATTTAATGCCGTTTGTTTTGTTGCCAACCAGTAAGCGTAATTACACAGAAAAATGATTTATACATAACCTTAATTTAGATGAGGTTCCTGGAAGAGATTTAAACTTGTAGCTCTTACTCATTGGACAGAATCAGCACAAATAAAATCCAGTTAATTAGAATTAAAGTAAATATAATTTTTTATATATTAGACAGTTTTATACCGTAAATACCTTTATTCTCCTCCTCTTGTACATCTAAAAATGTAGGGCTGTGCTGGCTGCTCTAGATGGTCAGAGTTCCAGTTTCTGACAGGCTATCAAGGAACAGTTCCTCTAAAACACACCAAGTATAAAATATACCAATATACCAATATATATTAAGATGCTGTAGGAGAATAATGCTCCTGATTACCTTCCAGTGTGTTCAACATTAAGGCACACAATTTGAATACAAGTTAACCCATGTTGTCATACATTTATTTGGCTGTATAAAATGTTTTGGTGCATCAATATGCCCCTCAAACAATCCATGACTGTTTAATTGAAGGCTACAAAACAGCAGCACAAATATCAGGGCAATGACCGTTTGATAACATTATCTAGTAGAGTTTCACTTTCCTCAGGATCAAGGTATCAATATGTGGTTGAGAGAGGAGCTTCCTGTAGGGTTAAGCCTAATTAAAATTATGTTTTAAAGGGTCCTAGTCACAACGTAAGGCAAGTTTATTTTATATAGCACAATTCTATTCAAAGTGCATGAGAATAAAAAGAAAATGACATAGCAGAGGTATAAAGGCATCACAATTAGCCTAAATTAAAGACAAAAAATGAATGGTTGGATGATGTTATTGTAAAATACAAGACTTGTAAAAAGAATTCAAAGTTAGACCAATAGCTCAACTAATAATGTTCCCGTACCTCTGTCAAAGTCCACAAAAGAAATACGTTTTTCATCTTGATTTAAAGCAACTTTCCAGAGCTTTTACAGTTTTCTTGGAGTTTAAAGTTGTAGGGAAATCATATTTAAATGTCAAATCATTCTGTCTTTATCAGACTATATTGTCCCAAAATTTAGAAAATTTCTATTCAAAAATATATCCTGTCATAAAATCTGTGGGGTTTTTTCCATTATCTTCTGCAGGCCAGTTAGTTATACGTCAGCCTGAACATCTAAATTCAGCCAATCATATATCAACGGTCATCTGTCAATCAAATTTTTTTGGTCACAGCATCCTGATTCATATGTCGCAGCTAAAATACGCAGCGTTTGAAATAAGAAATAAGAATCATTTCCTTTCCCACTGAGTTCCGTCCCAGTGTTCACGGGGATGGACGTCTGTGTCTTCAGCAGGCGTAGAGCTAACAGAACTGGCAGCGTTGCGAGGCAAGGGCTCAAACATGTACGGCTGTAAGCCTCCTACACCAAACCAAGCTTCTGCCGCCCTGGCGTCCTCTTCCACAACATCTTCGTCCCCACTTTCCTCCTCTAAATAAAAAATGTATGACGGAGGAGACTCATCCACGACCTCCGACACTAAACTCTCCTCCTCTTGCATGTTTCCTCTGTCCATAGCGTTCCTTGACAGTGTCGTTGCTAAGTCACCAATTTAGCGCTACTTGGTCCCAATGGAATTTCCCATTGGGAACCTACTAGCACTAAGTTGCTAACTGGTTAGCAAGATGCCTCATAGATACCAGCCACAATCAAACTTGCTTGCAAACCTTCCGCCACAACAATCCTGCCCCCTTGATAATCAAATTCACTTTTTTCACTCGTGTAAAGTTGTGCACCACTTGGGAGAATTCTGAAATGCAACGGTTGGAACGGCCGTTTCACTACGACTTTAATGTTAGTTGAGCATAAGACTAAAAATTGCTTTGTCTCCATTTCTGGTTCTGATTCTGCTGAGTAGATTAGAGCCAAAAAATCTGAATGGTGCTTTGAGGCTGCAAAGTGATGCAATTGGGAGCAGCAAGAAGGTTACAGGTTTGATTCCCAGCCTGGGGTCTTTCTGGATGGAGTTTGCGTGTTCTCCCTGTGCATGCGTGAGTTCTCTCCGGGTACTCCGGCTTCCTCCCACTCATGACTGTTAGGTTAATTGGCTTCTCTAAATTCTCCTTAGGTGTGAGTGTGGCATGAATGGTTGTTTGTCCTGTTTGTCTCTGTGTTTCGCCTCTCACCCATTGATAGCCACCCTCGCGATCCCACTAGGGATGAGTAGAGGGAAAATTGATATACAGACATCAATTCTATAATCTGTTCTGGAGCTAAACCATTTAGTGATTTATAAGATAACAGAAGTATGATATTGTCTATTCTCTGAGATATGGGAAGTCAGTGTTTTTTTTATTTAGCTGAAGAACATTGATGCATCGATTCCTTCCATTCCTTTATCCAGTGCTTGAATGGGTTCATAGTCACCTGATGACATTTTAATGTATTACTGTTGTCGTCTGCATAGTGTGACAACTTACTTTGTTGTTTATTAAGTTCTGAGTGGGAGAGTCATTTAGCTATTGAATAGGAAGGACCCTATGATGGATCCATGTATATGAACTTTTGTATTTTTACTCCAGTAGCTCACTCTGATTTCATAGAAAGGCTTCCCAATATTTAGGGTTAACTGTCTGAGGAACGTGTGCTGTAATGACTGTCCGACCAGTTCTACTTTTCTTATAGCTATAAGTCTGTCTGCCATACCTACAAATATAACCATTCCAGTGGCGAATCTAGAAAATTGTATAAAGGATTACACAGAAATGTAAGAAAAATATCATTGTACAAAAAAAAGCAGCCTCAAATGAAAATACAGGGCTGATCTTTCGCTGTGACTTTAAGGAGAGCTTAAGGCAATAATTGTGCAGGGCAGCCAAATGGCAATTACTGAGGGCAGCTGATTCTTGTTTTTTTTTTTAAATATATTTTACAAGCCTTTCATCTACAGTTGTGTATTTTTTGTGAATTTATGTTAAATTTGAAATTGGTTTGTATTGATTACAGGTATTTTGCAGACTTAAAAGTGGGGGGGTGGGATTGCTGCTGGGGATCTGTCTCCTTAGAATTCAGTCTGGTTCCACAGATGCCTGCTAATGACCCTCATTATTAAATCGAGGTGTGCTAAAGTAGGAAAATATCTAAAATAATGAGGACATTGGCCGTTGAGGACTAAAGCTTGACATTTGCCAAAGAGAATAGAAAAATGTTATAAAAAGAAAAAGTGGGCGTGGGCCTTGAGTTAGCTCTTTCCTGTCGCAGATCTTCTGAAGAAATAAAAGTAAGTTGTATGAGAGGGAGTATAGCATCCCTGTGTGCGTCTCTTCAGCTCTCCTGTTGTATTAGCATGACCCTGCCTCAGGAGCAGCAGAGGCAGCAGCAGTGGGGCGAGCGATAAAGAAACGATGCGTCGTGCAAATCTAAGACCGTCTGCTTATGGTTTCGTGGGCCTGCAGGAATAACACTCAGAAAAATGCTTCGGCTCAGCAGTTTGTCTGCGTTACGTGTCCATATCTACCATATGTGTGTTTGTGAATTGCTGCATGCCTCACATACGTTGGTCATGTGTCTCTGGAGTTGCATCTACTTCTAAACATCAGATTTCTCCCTCAGGTGGGACGGGTTAAGGCCCTCTCCTGTCTTTATTATTAGCCCTGTATGCATGTCCCGCCATCCTGTCTTGAACCCCTCCCTTCCCACTTTCCATATTGGGTCTTATCTAAGCCGTGGTGCTACCAGACAGGACAGGCCACTGGCTGATAGCGATTGTTTATCCCACGGTGCGAAATTGCTGATCTGTCGTCTGCTTTTCCCTGACAGCGAGATGCTCATCTCTCTCTCTCTCCTCCCTCAGATACAGATATTGGCACCTATCAGTACTACGATAAAGGAGAGCCAGGTAAATAGTGTTTATATTGGATGTGTGTTTGCGTTCCAGATAAGTTGCATGTGTCTTGTTTTTGGAATGCATGTGATTTCCCTATATATAAAGAAGAGCTTTGCGCTGCCTGCTGACACCCAGATTATTGGTCGAGCACGATTCAGAGTCTTACAGCCCCTAACCACACATACACATGTACACACAAAGGCTATTAGTGTGTAGGATTTACACCCTAAAACCTTATATACACATGCACATACCACACACACAGATTATAAGGTCTCTGCGGTTCTATCTTTTACACTCCCTGTGTTCCTGTTGACCCTGGGGTCCTGACATACGGCGATAGGAAAACTAAACTGTTGACTTTCTCCTAGATCTCGTAGCAAGAAGCCCCATGCGGTCCAGCCTCATTTTACTTCGAGGCCTGGAGGTTTTTCTTGTAATCAGGAAGCGCTAAGATCGTCACCCTGCAGCACTGCAGCAGAAACATGCTCTATATCTTTTTTTTCTCCTTGCTAAATAAATGATACATTTAGAAAATAAGTCATATTTACACTGAGCGGCATCCCTTGTGTGTTTCTGTCCAAATGCCACACCTTGGAAACTTATTATAAAGAAGAAAATTGGGTGTTTTTTTTCCAGTTAGTCATTCAAGTGTAACTTTGTCATTATATGGAGTCTCTATGAGCACGGTAAAGTATTATCAGCATGTATTTACTGTTAATTGTGATGATTGTGGCATTCAAATAATGAAAAATCAAAATGAATCTTTGATTAATGCCTACATATGGCCAGTGACAAGTTCCTCAAAGAGCATAAGCCACTAAAAGATGAAGCTAATGGAGCTGTGGGTGTTAAGATTGCTGTCTCTGCACTTGTAAATAGAAAGTTAGGTGGAAGGATAAAGTGTGGTAAAAAAAAAAAAAGGGCTCACAGAAATCACCTACAATATTTTAGAGAGCTTAATGCTTTATTCTTCTGACAAGCTCTATGGAGATTCCCCCCCTACAAGTCCTATGGTACTAAAATCTGCTTCTGTCACCCTGGTGGTGAGGAAGAAAAATGGCTTCCTGAGCAGCTGATGGTCTCCTACATCTGCATCCATTTGTTCTAGTTGCGTTTAAAATCCTTTTTATTGGTCTTATGTTAAATATATGTTTAATAAAAATAATTAGGAGATTTTTCTTTAGCTTAAAGCCATAATCTTCAAGTTTAAAGAAATAAAAACCTAAAATATCACAGTTGGTGTAAAGAATCACTCATTAAATAAAAAGAGTTTATCTTTTTGAATGTCGTTATTGAAGGTTAACTCTTTAGCGATATTCTAGTTTATAAGGATCTAGTTGCCTTTGTAACTTCCACTGTGTGCTTCCGCCTTTTATTGTAATCTTTCTAAAAATGTTTTAATACTTTATTGGAGACTTTAGCTTCTTAACTGTTCTGTTTTTCCAAATAAAAGAACGATGGCTACAAGAAAAAGTAAAATAAATGTAAGAACTAGAAAAATCTCTCTCCAGCAGACGTTTCGAGTGATTATTCTTTTTCTGAAATCTTTTTTTTTAAGACAAGCAAGATTAGAAAGCTTTCCGTTCATGATTATTTACTGTTATTCAGTAAATACCCCCGGTCAATCTCCCACCTGAGCTGAGCATCTATGCAGCTCCTGCAGTTACTCTGGGCTGCTATACACTTTCTATTTTTACTGAAGTGAGATTAGACTGAAAAACTGAAGACTGTGTTTGTTCAGGATTATCTTTATGTTGGGATGTCCGAGTTGAAAGGGCTTCCTACAAATGCCTGACAAACTTTTCAGATTTTATTAATACAGAAAGATCAAAAACATAGATCCTTTAATGCAGTACTTTATGTTAAGACTGTCATATAAAATCTCAAATAAATCATGTTGGTGATCGCACCGCACCCTATAGTGATTTTAGTTAATCTCCAGGCCAGATTTTTTGCCCATTTTTGCACAGCCAATAATAATCCCAGCTTATTTCTAATTCCGAGGCTTGGAAAAATAGTCTATGATGCTCATGATTTTTATTATTCATATGCTCCTTTGTGTTAGTTGATTACATCAATCCCAATAAAACACATTTTAATTAGTATTTCTAATGGGACAAAATGTGGCTGAATACCAGGACAGAACCCAATATGGATGCCTTATTATACTGTGTAGGTATCTTAATAAATACTGCTTCCATAGACCTTGATTGCTTTGCCTCTTCCCGTTGCTTCTGATTTAATTCAGAGGTCCTGAAAGGACAAAATAAAAGTAACACTGTAATGGGGATGCCTCTTTAGGAGTAATTTTTCAGTTTATTTAATAAATATTCATAGATATTTATCGAGTAGTCCTCATGTGAATTTTACAAAAACCTGAACCAAATAACAAGTTTTGTTTATTAACCGTTTGTTCAATTTTTTACTGTCCTGACTGTAGAAAACAGGTTAAAGGGATTTGTTCGTTTTTTTTTGTGTCATTTTTCTAATAAAGCTGAGTAAATGTATTAGTAGTGTTAAAGCAAAATAGAAACTTTCTAGTCTTTATATAGACTTTATTTATATATGTATTTTCATTTTCCTTCTGTATGTATATATATATATATATATATATATATACACACACATAATGTATAGTTCTTATATATTTCATATTATCTGGAGATATTGATTGATTCCCCGACTCTGCATTGTCCCTCCAGTCTTTCATTAATTTCTTTCTCTTTTTTTCATTAATTATTCTTTAGGGATTTTTTTCACACTGCATGCAGTTAGTCCCCCATCCTCGTCACAGGCCTCATCCTAGAGGCTGCCTTCTCTTTTCATTCCACTCCTCAGTGGAAGGACGGTGCTTTTCCTCCCAAATCCTTTCATTTGGAGGATTACTAAAGTGTAGCTCGATATCATAGTGAAGGAGGAGGGAGGAGAAGCAGACCAGGGAGGCAAAATCCCAACCCAGAATCATCATAACCGTCATACAGCAGCGTTTTAGTTATAATCAAGGTATTTGGAGCTGATTTCACTTTTAGCGCTAACTTACTGAGAGGTTGCATTTTAATGACAGCTGACTCTATTAAATGAAACAAAAGATTTGTTTACATGGCCGGACTGTTCAAGCCAATATAAGGGAGAAAATCACTTGTTACTAAATGTTTAGGTTTACAGGTGCTGGAAATCTTTGATTTTATTTTGTCCTGATGTTTGTTTTTATTGGATAAAAATACTTAAAACAGTTTAGAAGATTAACATATTGACTTTTGCAACAGGTTTTTACACGAATCTTAGTTTATCACTCAATCTTACACAGTTAGATAAAATAAAACTGTATTCTCTTATAAATTAATAAAACATAGCATTATAGGACTATATGTTTTAATTGTGGGATTCAATCTTTCTCCTTTGGATTGCTTTTTATGTAATAGATAGAGATGCACCGATTTCATTTTTTTTTTTTTTACATATCAAACATAGCATTACAGTGAACTAATTACCTTAATTTCCTGGTTAGAAAGTGGATTGTGTCATCAACAGAATCCACTTTCTAACAGGACCTTCTTTTTGGAGTCTAGTTAAATCTTAATGTGAATTTAATGACATATTTTGTTCTGGATAATTTCCCTTTATAGAACCAAGCAGCAGAAGGAGAAGCTGAGGAGGCAACATGTAGATCTTATTCTAAGCTTCAGCTTTGAGCCAAACATAAAGCAGCATCCTGTCAGTGGTCACAGTGCTTATCCTGTTCACTGACCTCCACTAGAGGGAGACCTAGGATCATTAGAGCTGCTCTGGGGGGGTCCCCAGCTGCCAGTGCCCCTCCACCCCCCCTGTTCATCCAGCCCCAGAGCAGGTGCCCATGTCTGGGCCTGTCTGGCCCTTCACCCCCTTATCTGATTAATACTACTAATCCTGGAGGTGTCCCTGCCTGCCAGAGAGGCCGGCCACCAGGCTGTCCACTTTCACGCTCGGGGCAGCCAGACCAGGGCTTCCACTTTGCCAGCGTTGTCCCCCGTTAAAACTGAGGGGCTTGTTGGAGCCACATCTTAGCCTTCTGTTTTTATTTAGCTGCACCGTAAAGAAAAGTAGTATCCAATCAGCTAATGTGGCCTCTGTCTTCCTCCTCCAGCCAATCCCTTGGAGCATCACTACTACAATGAGAAACTCCACTTCTGTGAGGGTAAGTTTACAAAGCAGTGAATCAAAAATGAACCGTTTAACCACATATGCATGGGCTCTGATGGAGTGACCAGTCGGCAGTCGTCCTCTGCGTGCTCTTCTCTCCCGTCTCTGCTCCTCACCCAGTTGTAAAATACAAACAGCGTTATCAGAACACAAACACTCTTCCTCCTGCCCTCACCTCCCTCTCCTCTCTCCTGCCCCCCCATCCTCCACACCCTCATTTGCATGCATCTGTTTACGTCCAACTCATTCTAAATAGAGCACTCTCCTCCCTAATCATTCGTTTCTGTAAAGATGAAATGAGAGACTGTAAAATAAACAGATAAGAGCCTGATTGCAGCAGCAACGCTTCCTTTCCTCCTGATTTTCATTTACTTATTTTTGGATGTGCATTGACAGAGGCTGCTGCTCAAATTCAATTAACAGGGTTGTTTTTTTCTATATGCTTCCTTCTGTGTGTTGAACCTCCAGAGATGGGATCGGTGGGGAATAGAGGGCTTGGAAATTAAATGAAAGGGCAGCACTTGGGTTACAAACTCAAAATGAAATTGGCTGCAGCCTTTGCATTCTTCTATCCGAGTCTCAGTGACATTCTTAACCAATCAAAACTGAAATTAACAAAGCAGCAGTTTCTCTAATTGACTCTTTTCATCTTAATAGATTTTTCCTGTTCCAGCTTGTTTGAAAATCACATAAATGTTCAAGATCATCAAACTAAATGTTGAATCAAACCAGTAGAAGCTAAGTAAATAGAAAAAATGGTTTTCAAGAGATGATTTATTGGATTTATTGACATATGTGGGGAGAGTCAATCCTCTGAATATTTGATTAGTGCCGTCCTTAACCTCTAAACTGTGCCGTTCTGGATCACTGCTGCTATGAAGTGCCTCAGATAACTGGAATGGAGGCTTTAAAATCTCTATCAGAGATTTGGCTCCACTATTCCTACAAAAACATGGTTTAATTCAACAACAGTGGAGGAGTTTTCAGTCTGAGCTCTCTGTTTAAGGTGGCGCCACAGAATCTCCATTTGACTTTGACTAGGCTGATCTGATGCTGGTTGATTTCAGCCCATCAGAGGCTGATTTTTTTTTTTTTTTTTGTGGGATTAAGTTTGAGCTGAAGGATAATTAGACGTTTCATTTAATCAGCCCCTCACCATTACACTACCACCACCTTGTTTCACCATTGGTGTCATGTTCCTCGTATGAAGAAGAGATAAACACCAGAGAAAAGCAGATACTGTTTTTTTTTTTAAAGTTGATGATATGTAGGCTACTACTAATTTATTATTCTTGTGCCATTTATATTATTTTATAATAAAAATGGCACAAGTTTTAATTTAAACAAAATTAACATATCAAACTAAATATGAACAATAGATAGAAAATGGAGGAAGTTGTTTACTTGATCAAAAGGCCTGGCTGCTGAATGCTCCAATGAATCTGCGAACGGATGCCAATCCAACACACAAAAAAATGCTAATGTCGACCAAAAATGGAAAATATCAAAATATTATTTAGCAACTGTGAAACATCCTTTGTATTTTTCTGGTCAGCTGTGCGTGTTTTTTGTTGTTTATTTGAGCTGGATTCATTTTGTCAGAGAGTTAGATTTTTTTCTAAAGTGATTTCTTGATTTACATGTTTGGACATTTTTAGGCCAGGTTGTGAGGGGTGTTATAAACTTACTTTATTAAAATGATTTGGTTGATTACTATATAGAAGCAAGCTGCTTTGGAGAGATGTTTTCCTTTAATAAAAGAAATGAACATTTGAAAATAGTATCTTATATTCACTACGATCATGTTTAATTCCTTATATTTGCATGGAGGAAAAGTAAATTGAATTACTACTCAGTAATTTCTCATCAACCAGTTTTTGCCATGTTTACTCTTGAATAACGTATTAATTATTCTAGATTTTATTATTTAGGGATCATTAATTTTGTTAGAATTATCAGTTAAATTAATCTTTTTTCCTCTTTCATATTTATAATCCTAATAAAATGACCGACATAGCTACTTTGAATATGCAGCTGTGATTCATAACACCACATTACAGATGCACTGATTAGTATCCATATCGGTCCCAATATTGAAGTAAAAGTGAGAATCCGTGTCAGCAAAAATGTTCCTGTCCATAGTGGCTGATCTATTCATTGTACTTCTATAAGGAATTTAAGTTGTAATCTCATTCCAGCAGATAAGTTTACCCCTCTATAAACACCTGTTGTTGATTTAAAGGTGATAATTTAACTTTTTCAGTTCAGTTTTGTTCTGTACAATTTGCCAAATTGTTGCCATGACCGCCAACATTTAATCACCTGTTCAAAAGAAAAGCAGCAACCTCTGTCTGTCTTCTAAATCTCTTTGTTACCTCAACAGTTTAATCAAAGCTCATCCTCATTTTCCTTCTTTTTTTTATTTAAATCTAAAAAGATGGTCATTTCTGAGCTCTGTCATGGAGCTGCTAGGACCGGGAGACACCTGGGCTCCGACTCAACTGAATTCAACCTAATGTTCCTATTGGTATTCAAGAATTCATTCTTGACAACTTTGGCATCATGATCAGACGTAAATATGTATATATTGGGGGCCTCCCAAAAATGCATTACAGATATTATTTATATTATTCACTTTTCTCAGTAAACTTAATACAGAGATTCTGTGAACATATTTTTATTTTTTAAATATGGCAAATTTCAACTTTAACATTTAAATATTTTTCTCAGTAATGAATTTTAACATGATTTGTGTTTTTATTACCTTATATATAAGGTTGTTTTTTGGATACTTGTGTGCATTCATGCATATACTTGCTTGTAGAGAAGAGCTAATGACAGCTCTTTAAAATATCTGCTGTAATTTTGATAACAATAAAGTAAATAGAGCTTAGGTCTAGAAAAAGTATTGGAATCTGCAGATACCCAAATTCAGAATCAAACCAGAAGTGACAAAGGTAAAGGTATTTTGAAAGTCTAAAACTGCATCCACCTTTTCTTGCAGTAGCATAATAATCAGATGATGAGAGCGTTAAAAAAATAAAAATAAAATCAGACCTTTTTTTTTTCTTCTTTTTTTTTGACAACAGAACAGAGGCAGCAAACCGTCCAGCTGGGTTTGTTGCGAAAAGAACTTCAAGTACAGAGGAGGATCTGTGATGCTGGTGGCTTGTTCTTTTTCAGAGGACCTGTGTTACAGTGTTCGCATAACAAACATCTGAAGATTTGAAATACAACTTGCCAGTCAACAGCAGAATGAATATTTTAATCTGACAGCTTTAGGAACACAAACATGTTTAGCCAGACATCAAATCAGCCTTCTTCTATGGTCACAGTCTTCAGACCTTGAACTCTAAATAAAACAAGTTGCATACGTCTAAGGTTATGTTGTACCAAAAAAAAAAAATGTTTCTTTTACTCTCTTTTTCATGACTTTTTATAGAAGCACTTTTGTTACTTCTTTTTTTGTATCACCGGGCAAGTTGCCTTTTCTTTTTATTACATTGACCTTAATTTTTGCCATAAGAATATCCATATGTTTTGAATGTTACAAAGCTAATAAGTTCTTGTCCCTGATTCCTATAAAACTATTGGCTTGAAATTTTGATTTTAAAAGTATTTCACTGAGTGTCCTATTAATGGTTAAACAAAAAATACTTTAAGGTAAATTTGAGAACTTTGTTTCCAAACTGTCTCACAATTAAGCGCTCTATCATTTAAAAAGTGTACATAAACATCTGAAACCTGTATTTGTCTCTAATATAAAACTTAAAAATCAGTTCAAAAGAACCAGAAAAGCAGCAAAGCTTTACTTTTTAACTATCTTGGTAAATAAAGAAGCATGTTAATGAACTAAAGAAGAGCTATATCTGTATTTATTAAAGGGTTTTTATCCCCTGGCTTCACTACCTCTACCTTTTCTTTCCACATCACCTTTATCACCGTTTTAATGCATGAATTGCTCCCAGGTTATTCAATTCTTTCCGGTTTTGTTCCCACGGACTCCCATGGGTGTTGTTTTCAAGACTATTCCTCTCTTTGCCGTGTTTAAATGTTTAGCCTCATGATCTCTTGACTCTCCCGTTTGTTTTTTGTTTTTGACCCCCCCTCCGTAGCTCGAGGCTATCCGTGGACCCCCAGGAACCGCCGACCAGAAAAGCTGCGCGACTCGCTGAAGGAGTTGGAGGTAACCTCACCCCACCTCATTACTCCACCATCCCTATCCCGCTTCTTCCTCCCTCTGGGGATTTTTACCGGTTTCCCTTTCCGAAACGGCTGATTGATTAACAAATAGGGGCATTCTCTGTCTGCTCTCCCTCGGCCTTCACTCTCCCTGTCCCCCCCGTTTGTTCTCGTCTCCCCCTTCCCCTCTCTCATCACCTCTCTTTCGGCTAGGTTCTGTCATCGAACGGGATATTTGAGGGGCAGCGGACCCCCCCCTTCCTCCTCCCTCCTTCTCTTCCACCTCTGTCCCTGACTCCTTCCTCATTCACCTCCTTCTCCTACTTGTGTCAGTACAGACCTAGCTTTGTTTGCTGGAACCTGTCTGTGGCTGTTATACACACACACATGCACACACACTCTACAACCCCAACCACCTCCCTCCTCTCACCCGTAACCATTGTCTGAAAGCAGAAACACCCAGCACACCTCCTCTCTCTCCTCCCATCCAATCAGCCCAGCTGGGTCTGGAATGCTGCAGGAATGACTGACCTTACACTCTCACACAGTGGTTACCTGCATCCGTTTCCAAGTCTCCCCCCCTCCCCTCTGAGAGCAGGAACTGCAGGAGTGACCACCTGTTGGGACAAGTGTCCACTGTCACAAACGGAGTCCCTTTTCAACCTACTGCACTCTCTGCCTCTCACTTTTTCTCCCTTTTTGCCCATTCAGGAGCTGTTGCAGAGCAACACCTGCGTTCACACCAGATGGAGAAACAAGTACTGCTGCCAGGTACACACCCTTCCCCAGCTCAACACCCACTGGGTTCAAGCAGACACACACCAACCTGTTAATGCGGAGCGTGTTGGTCAAAGAGCTGGACTATAGGGTGAAATCACTGCTAAGATCATTGTTAGCTCATTATGTAGGTGAGCTATAAGGTTCTGGTAGAAAGAGTGTTTTTTAATCTGAACATTAACACATAAAGGAAGACCATACTAAATAGATCCGTATTAGCTGGTAAAACTGACTACATGTCTGTTTTTCTTTCTATTTTTATTATGAAGTGTATTTTCTATCAATTCTATTTGTTTTAATATATTCAACTTTTAGCCACAGTGATTTTAATGAATGCAACAAAACCTATTCTACTTGGTACCTTTTTGTGGGGTTACACAAAAGAAATAATCTTAAACCTTATACGTTCTTATATTATATTTTCTTATATCTGTTCTTGGGATGAAAAAATAAGATTAATCGATTATTGAAATAATCGTTAACTAATTTAGTAACAGATTAATCGTTAAATGGAGTTTAGAGACTCTAAAAGATGCCTGTAGCTGACAGAGCGACCCACTTAGAGCAGCAATTACACCAAGATAAAAAAAATATATATATATACAAACATTTTGCATTTAAGATTAAAAAAACTTATCAAAAAACTCATCAAGTGGAAAAGTTTGGGTTTCACCTGATTTAATTTCTTCTTTAAAGAGTCTTTGGCTATCCGATTATTTATAATTTCATCCAAAAATAATCAACAGATTAATTGATCTGCAAAATAATCGTTATTTGCAGCCTTAATCTGTTCGTATATCTTATATTTTGTCACATAACACTGATTTTTACAGTTTTATTTGAATTTTATGTGATTGAACAGCACAAAAGTATTTTTTTTTTTTTATGTTGCTGATAGAAAATTTAAATGTGTGTCATGCATTTGTATTCAGCCCCCATTAAACCAAGAACTTGAACAACCATAGTTTGCTCATACACACTATTAGGGTCTGTCAGATTCTTCAGGACAATTTTTCATGTAAATATTCTTCCTCTAAAGCTGCCTAAGCATATTTAGATCCTTTGTTGAATAAATAACCAACATGGAGAGTGATGTTTCTTAGACAGGATGGTCTTCAGTCAGAGGCTTCAGCTATAACACAGACCACTACAGAAGATCCTTCCTGCCATCACCTGTGAAAAAATCTGATTTGGATAAATTATTATTAAACTAAGTAGTTTTTTCTACAAACAAGTTGAATTAGGTGCTGTGAACTTTGACTAGGCCGTTATAAAACATGAATATGCTGTTTTCTAAAGAAGTTCCCAAGCTTTTGCTCTTCTGACCCTTTAAAAATGGTACTAGAGTCGACTCATGATCCAAACTAGAGGTTGAGCAAAAAAAACAACCCAACATCAATTAGCTACAGGTATAAAACAATACAAAAACAGCATCAACATCTTTGTTTAAGTGATGCTTTTATATCTTTATGTCAGCAATGGGTGGTGAGGTTGCTTACAGACCCAAATGCAGACATCAGGTGGCAGAGGTGAGTCTTGAAGGTTTATTCAATAAACTGAGGTAAAATCCAAAGAAAAAAAATACCAAGAACCAAAAAACTACAGGGGAAAACTCACGTGGGAAACCAGAGATGAGGAAACAATAAACGACAACAAGGAACCAGCACTGAGTAACTGCAGAGGTGGAGTATTTAAGGGGCACAGAACAAAGGACGGACTAATGAGCTAAATAAGGAGCAGGTGTGTAGAACTAAATAGAAGGAAGCCAATGGGAAAGGAAACAAGCACAAGGAGGCAACAGAGAGTAAGTAAAGATTGTTTGAATATAATGGAAAATAAACCAAAGAACAGAAACAGAAAACTAAAAACTCAGAGTCCCAAATGGAGAAAACCATAACACTTTAAGCCTTTAGTTTGTATATTTATTGTTTAGCTTAATTTCTGTTATGGATTTGAAGGCCATATACTGGACCCTGAGTGGGGTCATGACCTTTGGGAATCAATGTTGAAAAGCCTTCTGTTGAGGCCCTGTTATGTTTCACTCTGGGGCCTGTGGGTTATATGTAGCGTGCAATATTATGTTTCACCACATATAACATTTGTTATGTGCAGGAAAGTGCAATTTTTATTTTATTTATTCACGTCTTGCTGATGTTGTTTTATAACATTTCCTGGGTTTGTAATACTTCACCTATGTGATATTTTTCACTGGTTTTCATGATGCTGTTTGGTCCCTAATGTGCTCTAATGAACCTCTTAGACCTTCACACAGTAACTGCATTAATTCTGGTATTAAACTACAGACTGTATTGGCTGCTCATGCAATTGCTATTGGCATTTGGTTACATGATTCTACATAGGAAGAAATAACATCAGTGAGTAGAAATCCATGCCTCTCTTTAGTTGTAAAAGGAAAAAAATCTTTCTTTTTATTCCTTAGTTTGTTTGTTTTTTGCTCTTATTCGTGTTTGTTGGCCACATTAAACCTAATTCAAACACCAACTAATAAGCATGTGGAAAACATCAAGTTTTATCAGTTATTTTCCAAAGTACTGTATCTCTTTTAATAAGAGAACCACAGGCATATAAATAAAGCTTTTAAAGGTTTGGATAAAAACAGTCTTGAGTCTAAACTTTTTTTGCGATGCAAGTTTTTTGCACTTTTGAAATAGTCACAGAACATTTAAAAATGCAGCAACACTGCAAACAAGGTCTATGTAATTAACTTTTACAATCTTAGATGTAGCCAGGCAATCTTTTTGATCTTGTTTTGAGACTGATATGCTAAAAACGGCAGATTCTATTTGATTACTTATCTTCTTTGGAGCAGATTGTACTCAAAATAGTGTGATAATCTGCGGATGCTGTAAGAAAATATCACTTCTCGGAACCATAATAAAAGTACTCATAACAAGAAGTTTTACTGAGTGAAATTGTCTCACTGCGCTGGCAGATATTGCACTCATTTGGAGAGGTGGCAAGTAAGGAAGTACAAATACTTAGTTACCTTACTGGAATTATTATTTTTGGACTTGTTTTTTTTTTTTTTTTTTAAAGCTCATTTTGGTTTTGGCCTGTTGGTATTTCAAACAAAAATCATCAAAATAATTAGTTTCCTCCAGACAATTAATTTCTTTGTGGTTGAACTCACTGCACCAACTTGTTGTTCCCCACATACATAAAGAGTTTTTCAAGATGATGCAAACTTAAATTTAACACTTTTGCCATTGGTTATACGTATAAGGAAGTTATCATCCAGAATTGTAGAAAAATGTCCCTTTAATAGGTCAGTGCTGCTGTTACAGCAGCTGCCCCTAAATTTTTTTTCGTTTCTTTTTCTTTTATACTTAACGTATTTTTCAAAATCTTAGTTTTACACTTTTACTTGAGTAAAAAGCTTAAGTTGACACTCTAACGTCTACAAAAGTGTTTTTAAAAATTATAATTTATAATTCTACTTGAGTATTAATTTGGACACCTCTGCTTATTTGGAGTTGTATCATCTCAAAGGTAGATTAATAATCTAGCAGAATCAGCTTTTTGCTGAGTATATCAATCCCAAAACCATTTAAGAAAATGCTTTTTGGGATGTTATTAGATTTTAAAACTTGATAAGATATATAGTTTTTGCAATGTAAACGTAGCAGAGTGGCGTTAAAAAAAGGGGACCATGAAATCTGAAGCTAATTGCATCAGGATACTAAAGGAAATTCATGATGTGTTTAAAACAACTTGTTAAAATATCCATTGTGGTTCATAAAAGTCTAAGTTTTAACCTTTTTATTACCAACACTATTAAATGAATGTTTCATTTTATTTCAGTTTTTTGATTTTATTCTTCTTTTCCATCAATAAAAGCTGCCTAAACACCTAAAAGCCCTAAATGTATGTGATATACTGTATGCAGATGATGCTGAGCAATGCGGTGCTGGTGACGGTCACCCTAAAAGGACCTCAGCTCGATCAGGTGTGCATAGACCGAACCTTAGTGGGTCGACTTCCTGCCAACACTGTGACTGATGGTGAGTTTCACAATAAAACATTTCAATCACAAGAGACCTCATGTGTTTTCCACCATTAAGCAGCTTACTGGTGTGGCAGGTGCATGATAACATATGAAACACAAAATTCCCAGAGGGATTTAAATAATGTTACTCCAGGTTTTAGCTTCAAACATGTCATTGTGTTTTCTTTAACAAACCATTGTTTTTCAAACAAATTCTCCATTTAGGCATGATGATGTGTGCAGTTGTGTAATAATATGATGGATTAAAGCAGTTATAATATATGATTTTACACAGAAAGCAATTAAGAGCTTTAGATCAGCCACTGGGAAAAAAAGAAATCATTAGGTTAGAAAAAACTATTATTGCTTCCACTATTTATACCTGTTTCTGGTAAAAGATTAGTACCAGATATAAAAAATGACAAATCAATGTCTGGCTCTGCACACAATTAATCTAGAATTACATTTAGCTACAAGATAATGATGACCTGAGTTTGCTAATATGACAGTTATATGGCAGTCTATTATATATAATTGACTGAAGAATGATAACAATGCTTGGTTTTTCTAGTTTTCTGTTGTGCATATTAATCATTAAAAAATAGGTTTCACACTCTCCAAAGAATGCTAAAATCTATTGCCCAGAGTATGGAATTCAGCATCTTTCACTCAAACAAACCATTTCCATGCAGCTCTCAGCTTCTTCCTCACTTCAGTCCTTGGAATGTTCCCCACAAAATATACATGCTTCTGTTTAACCACATCAGTGATTAATTACTCGGTTTTTTATCAGCATAATCTATCTACCTAACAGGCAGAAACCTTACAACGATCATCTCTGTTAAATTAGTATTTGCAAACAAAAAAATGGTTTTGTCTTATTTTTTGGGTGTTTTGCTTCTTCTACTATTTTGTCTGTTTCTGTTTAACGATGAGATCCTGATTTCTTCAATTCATCCAAAGTTCCTCTCATTAACTGTCTTATCTTAATCAATCCCAAAGCATTTTGAGCTTAATATGGGGCTTTAGTCACATTCAAAACAATACATGTCACAATACTTGGGTCACGATACAATATCCCGATATTGCAATATCACTAAATATTACATTACTTTTCCCAACAATCACAATTACATGTTTAGATGAAAAACCAAGTGTTGTTTATGTTCATCAGAAGATATTGATCATTTATTTATTTTTGGCATTCATGTTGTTTGGGGTTGTAGTCAGTCTACGTCTTCCACTGTGACGACCTCAACTACAGATATGGTGCTGCGCCGCACAGCAAAAGGGCTCCACAGCACCATCTTTCATAGTGCATTTTTCCCTCATTGTTTTAGGTAAAATTTTGTTTTTAAAATCGGTACCAGGAACTGAAAATTCGATACTATATCGGGCAGCCGAAAATCACGAATATGTCCCAAAAAAGATTTTTAAAATATCTCTTTAATTGAAATTAAAAACAGCTGTTATTTTTATCGTACTTTTTTTTTTTTTTTTTACAGCATTACAGGAGGAAATGCAATATGTCACAAAGTCTTTGTATTTTGTCTGATAAAAAGATAACTGCAATTGTTCAATATAGATTTATAGCAGCTGTGAACTGTATAATAACTGTTTAATAATTGTTATAGATAGGCTCTCTGTGTGTCTACACCTTGAAGCTCTATCTCTCTGGTTCTTTTTCCTGAAAAGAGATCAATCGGGACAAACTCTTTAAATAACACTTCATAACTTATATGTATTAAATAACCAGGAGACAGGACAACATATTCTGATAGAAATTGTAATCTTACTCAGATCAGAGAAATTGCTTAGAGTTCACAGAAGACAGCTGCTCACCTCCATGCTCACCTCCCAGGAAGTGGCCCCGATTATCAGTTAAAGAGACATTTAATACATCTCCAGTCTGACACATCATCACATCATTACATCATACACCTTAGCAGATGAGGATACATCATTGCTCCTGCATTATCATGTTAAAGTGAGAAGGATTTGTCCCCTTGTAAGGAAGGCTGTCCTGATTAGATGACCTCCGTACACACCGTGACATCCACAATGTGAAGGAAGGCCTTCTGCTCTGTCTAATCTGACTAACAAAATAACAATGCACATGATGTAGAAATAATAAAACCTAACAATCAAAATACATAAGATAAAGGAAACCGCTTTCATTCTATTTCCAAATCTTTGCCACGTACAAAACGAAGATTATAACTTTATATCCGGACACAGGAACTGTTTTAATTAGATTAACTATTGTGGAAAACATTAGTTCTGACACGCAGCATGCAGCTAATATTAAGGTGTACTAAAATAGAGTAATAAAAAATAGAGTAAATGCATTTTCTTTAAGAAAACAAAGACTAACTAAAGCTAATTAGTGCTGCAATAAAAGTACTTATATTATTTACTCATAAAATTATGTTTGATATCACTCAAACTGTCCAAATGTTTTTTTTCTGGATGTCTTTTATTAACAGTTTTGTATTTTACAAAGCATCATCATCATCATCCACTCGATTTCTCTCAGCTTGCTGTTAGAGACTGTTTGCCCACACCTGTGCTCCCTGCATGCACTTTCACGTCCACCACACACTTCCCCACTCCCCACTCTCTGTCACGCAATCACTCTTTCACACAAGCGGCGACTCACACCATAACAGGTGCCACAGGTGAGCCAGGCGACTCTGCTAGCTAATTGCGGGCAAATCCTTTTGTGCTGCGTGTGTCCAGGGGCCTTCCCTTAAGAGCATCCATCAGTGTTTTTCTTCCATTGCGCGTTCCTCCAGGGAGCACCGTCCACCCCCCCATCCCCACTCTGGGCTCCCTCGCTCTGCAGACCTGGAAGGAGAGAACAAGAGGCCGTGGACAGCGGCCCAAATCTGCTAATTATTTCTTTCTTTCTGTATCAATTATTTGTTCATAACACCACCCTACCCACTTCCGCCCGAGGTCTCGAGACACTTGATAAAGCCCCCACAGCGCACACATACACACGCATGTAATTACATACACACTCCTTTTATTTTTCCTCCAGCAAAGAGCAACAAACACACACTGTACGTCCACTTACATTAACACACGTAAAAAAAAAAGAAAGAGACTTGAACTCACATGCTCATAGCCAGGCTTGCTAACACACACTCAGGTACACACTCACCTCCCGCTGTGCTTCATTCAAAGCCTCAGAGGGCACTAATTATTAGAGTAATGGTTGTGAGAGGGTGGGTTCCGGGGATTTTGTGTGCGTGTGTAATGGGGGGGTTGTAGTCGGATTGGGGGTCTCACATCTGCCACTTGTTAAATTAGGCTGAGACAATTAAGAGCAGAGGGTCAGAGCAGATCACAACACATTTATGATTACTGGGACAGTTTACAGTATCAATCCAGGTGTCATCTCTGGATTTGTGTGGTATCCCACGTAAAAAAAAGGTTTATAAAGTCATCCACTGAAAGATTTAAAAGGTTGTTGAGGCCAAACTTGTTTGTACTTCCTTCAGTTTTATACATTCTTAACTCAAAAGTTTGTTTCTAGCAAGATTTTTAAAATATTTTTGATATAACCTGTTTATTTAGCTTTTATTTTTTTTTAAATGTCTGAAAATTGGTTATATTCTTAATGATCAATGGATTTTTTTTTTTTTTTACAATAACTACCTAATTGTTGACCAAATATCTGCTTGTTTCTCTGTTATTTTGATCATTTGTCTTTGGTGGTGGTGACATCAATCTTTAAGGCTGCAATGACACATTATCCATTGCTCCTGCCACAGATCCTCTATGTAAAAACATGCTGGTAAAATTTACATTTACTTTCATATGCAAAAGATCTGGTTTCTGCGACTGAAATATTCCCTTGAGGTAGCTCCGATAACAACATTAAAGAACAATAAACTCCGTATCACCTACATGAAAAACACTTTAAAACACTTTAAAGTTGACTGTTTAAAATGATGGTTAAACACGTGTAAAAGTGAAGTTCTTTTTAAGGTTTAAGGTAGACATTGCCAATATTTATTTTAGAATAAATGGAAAGAAATATTTTTGGCTCAGAATAAATTAAAGCTGCTGATAGAAGCAGCTGGAATGGGAGATGGAGGAGCTGAGAAGGATCTGTGCTCAGGATGGTTCTGCTGATCACACTCTGGTTTTTCATCTGAGAGAGGGAAGTTTGGGGCAAACTAATGGTTTTGCTGGAACGCTTTGTGCTCTAGTACCATTTGACTTTTTGTCTCTTTGGGAGAAAAGTTGCACTGGGATAAAATGTAAGTAAGGGGTTTATAAATCTGTAAAAGATCACTATTTACATGCAGATTTAGACGTTTTCTGTTGTTGAATTGTCTCTGCGTGCTCTTTAAGATAAGGAAAAAATATTGGTAAAACATTGTGGTTTAATAATAACTTTCAGGGCATGGAAGATACTGTACATCTTAAAATCAACAGAAAAATGAAATTGCTAAATTTTACCTTCATGGTTAATCTGAATGAAAGCAGAACAGTATGCTAATACAACCAAATGGTTTTTATTAACCTGTTCTAAAAGCAAGTTAGGTGATATTTTATAGGTCAGAGGGCACTGATCTACAGCGATGAGGAGCAGTGCAGCCTGAGTACAAGTTATAAGTACAAATCACCAGTTTACAAGTTGTATACAAATGTATGAGAATAAATCATAAATCTTTGAGGACAAATAAATCAGTGAGTATAAATTAAAGTGAGTAGGATTCAAATCACAAATATGTGAGTCACAAATTGCAATAATGATTCACAAGTCTATGAGTACAAATCACAAATTTACAATTAGATCACAATTTTAAAGAATCTCAAATTTACGAATAGAAGAAAAAGCCACAAATGTGAGCGTGGGAATCAAATTTCTACAGCTGACATCATTTTATGGCCCCAGGAAACTTAAAAGCTCCACCTGCTCCATCTGCTGGCTCTGGATGCTGAGTGGCTAAAGTACAAATGACCTGAACTTTTTTTGTCTTTCAGAGCAGCACAACTCTC